AGTGGACGTGGGCAGCCTCGGGACACCAGTCAGGACGGATCCCGGGAGGGGTCCCGCGACCGATGCTGAGCCCGCCTCGCGAGACGCCAGTCAGGATGCATCCCGGGAGGGGTCCGGCGACCGATGTTGAGCGAGCTTGGGCCCGGCGGGGGGGCCGCCACTGTCGGGGCCATCGAACTTCGCGCCTTGCCGCGCGCGGAGGGCAGCCGGCCTCCCGTGGGCGCCTGGAACATCGGCACCGGCACCAAAGCAGGGCCTGCCTCCACCGGGGGGGGGGGGAGATCCTGGATTCTGGTGCTGGAAATCACTTCTCGGCCATCCAAGAACCCAGACCCCCGACGTCATGGATTTTGCCTGACGTGGGCCCCCAGCGGTCTGGACCCCTTCCCCGGGTCCGGTTTTTCGTCCCGAGTCTGTTTTTGACGGCGCCGAGGGCTGGTGAGGGCCCCGAGAGGCCGAAAACAGCGAAAAACTCCCCGTCTTGATTTTTTCATGGCCCGAGGACGTCTGGGAAGCTGAATTAGGTCGGGCCTGTCCCCCGCGAAAAATTGAAAACACTCAAAAAATAGTCCTATAATGCTCAAAAATCATGGAAAATCGTCCCCAGACCATGTCTTGACTATTTTTGGATCTTCCTCCTGTAGAGGGACAGGCCCGACTCAAAGCCAGAATGCCACCACCATCGCCGACATCGGGATCATCTCCCCTCGGGGGGGCCGGCTGCCCCCCCCTTCCGAACGAGGCGCAGCGCGCCGCGCTCGGCGCGCCCTCGCGCCTTCGCTCGAGCCCCGCTGCGCTGGCCCGGACCGCGAGGCGCGAAGCGGGGTTAGTTTTAGGTCGGGCATGAGGAGGAGGAGGAGGAGGAGGAGGAGGAGGAGGAGGAGGAGGAGGAGGAGGAGGGAGGAGGAGGAGGAGGAGGAGGAGGAGGAGGAGGAGGACGAGGAGGAGGAGGAGGGGAGACGAGGCGGAGGTGGAGGTGGAGGAGGAGGAGGAGGAAGAGGAGGAGGAGGAGGAGGAGGAGGAGGAGGAGGAGGAGGAGAGGAGGAGGAGGAGGAGGGGAGGAGGAGGAGGAGGACGAGGGAGGAGGAGGAGGAGGGGAGGAGGAGGAGGAGGGGAGGAGGAGGAGGAGGAGGAGGAGGGGAGGAGGAGGAGGAGGAGGACGAGGAGGAGGAGGAGGAGAACGAGGCGGAGGTGGAGGTGGAGGAGGAGGAGGAGAGGAGGAGGAGGAGGAGGAGGGAGGAGGAGGAGGAGGAGGAGGAGGAGGAGGAGGCGAGGAGAGGACGAGGAGGAGGAGGAGGAGGAGAAGGAGGAGGAGGAGGAGGAGGAGGAGGAGGAGGAGGAGGAGGAGGAGGAGTAGGAGGAGGGGAGAGGAGGAGGAGGAAGGAGGGAGGAGGAGGAGGAGGAGGGAGGAGGAGGAGGAGGAGGAGGAGGGGGAGGAGGAGGAGGAGGAGGAGGAGGAGGAGGAGGAGGAGAGGAGGAGGAGGAGGAGGAGGAGGGGAGGAGGAGGAGGAGGAGGAGAAGGGGAGGAGAACGAGGAGGAGGAGGAGGAGGAGGAGGAGGAGGAGGAAGGAGGAAGAGGAGGAGGAGGAGAAGGAGGAGGAGGAGGGAGGTGGAGGAGGAGGAGGAGGAGGAGGAGGAGGAGGAGGAGGAGGAGGAGCGGGGTCAGTTTTAGCGAAGGGGCCCAGGGACACACAAATGAATACACACGAATCCCAATATTCATTTTTTTCCCCATATTTCTTGGAGTTTCGTCTTCCCCCCGTAATTTCCCATATTTTCCTTGGAGTCGACGTTCAATTGTGTCTGTTTTTTCCCCTCCTGATGATTTTAGGTCAGGCATGTCCCCCTACAGGCGGATTTTGGGCGAAAAATAAAAACAAATCCAACAGTATTTTCAAAATGTTCAAAAATAAGCGGGACGTGCCCGACTTAAGGTCAATTGCCTTCGCGCCCCCTCCTCAGAGATTCGACGCTCCAAAAAAATTGGAGCGGCGGGTTTTTGACCGTTTTCGGCCTCTGGGGGGCCTCGCCAGGCCTCGAGGGGCCGTCAGAAACGTCCGCACCTCCGGGGCCCACGCATCGAAAAACTGGAGCGGCCAGATGTCTGGGTCGGGTGGCCCTGCTGCCTCAACTGGCCGTCCTCCGACTAGCGGCTTGCCGATAGCGTCCTCCTCGTATCGCCATCCCTCCGGAACGCCCGACCAGGGGGCATCCATGTCCCTCAGCAGCGACGCGAGCAGTGCGCCCACGCCGCCGTGGGCGTGGCCCGCTTCGATGGCAGTGCCCGAGACCAGGGAGGCTACGCGAGAGCGCAAACGTGAAAGAGAGTCCGCGTCGGCAAGGTCGACGTCAAGCGACTCTCCGCCGACATGAAACGTGATCCACGACCTGCCTCCATTCGCGCGAGTTTGGGCATCGTCCCGAGTGCCTCGGGCGTGCTCACCCTCGGCGCCACCGAAGAGCAGCACCGCGAGCGGAGACACGAGAGACATGTCGAGGGCAACTGTGCCACGCTCGGATTTGAGCACGCCGTAGCACACGCAGAGGTCGCCCGCCCTGAAAGGCACTCGCCCATCTGCCAACAGGGAGGCCCCATGAGGCTTCAGGGTGTGGCCCGCGCCCTTCTTCGTGCCGAGCGGACGCCACCTGAGGCTCCAGCGACGGCGGCCGTCCTTGGCCTCGCGCTCGTCCACCGGCTGGAGGCGCATGACCTGCGCCGCGGCACCCATGAGGATGCAGGATTTCACGAGTGCCATATCTGATGCGCGTGCGTCGTGGTTCGTGCTCCCGCCTCGAGCTTGGCCTTAGGTCGGACCTGTCCCCCTGCAGGCGGATTTTGGAGGACAAATGTTAAAAACATCGCCGACCCAACGGGCCAGAGGCGTGCTAAGATCTTAACATATCTGGCAACTGCGTGCGTACAGTATTTCTACTTCGCGCGCGCGGAGCGGTCCCTGGGGGTCCCTGGACGAAAAAAAAACCGGGCGGTCCCCAGTCGGGTCGGATCAGAGATCCTCCAGAGAGCCCCAAGAAAGGCCAAGAGGCCCCCAAGAGGCCCCCAAGATAAAACAAGAGGGCTCCCACATGCCACAAGATCGCTCCAAGATGCCCAATATTGCCCCAGGACGCCCCAAGAGGCTTCCAAAAGCACTCCCAAGAGGGCCCCAAGAGGTCAAATTCATCGAATTGCCCGAGGTTTTGGGCAGATTTGAGCGTTTCCCCTTTCTCGGCTTCCCGACGCCTCAAGACGGCCCAAGAGGTCCCCAGGATCGCCCCAAGAGGGTCCAAGAGGGCCCCAAGAGAGCCCCAAGACGCCCCAAGAACGCCCAAAGAGAGGCCCCAGAGGTGGAACACGGAACAACATGTCGAGCCCTCGGCCAGAAGCAGCCCCCAGGAGGTCCCCAGAGGTACATACCTAAGAGGCCCGAAGAGGTCCCCAACAGGCGGTCAGGAGGCCGCCAAGAGGCCCCCAAGAGCCCCCAAAAGGCTTCAGGTTAAGACGTCGCCGAAAGCCTCGGAGAACTCCCAAGAGCTTCCTGTGCACTGCCTCTCGGTGCGCGAAAATGGACAGGCGGAATGAGCGAAGCGATTCAACAAGCGAAATGTACTCCAAACGAGAAAACAAGTAATCGAGCAATCGTCCCCAGACTATGTTCCTCCTGTAGAGGGGAGAGGGGACAAGCCCGACGTAACCTTGGCCACACACGTCAACCACTTCCTTCGACAGCAGCTTCGCTGCACGGTCCACCTCCCTCATCGCTGGCTCGTGGACGCCGAGCTTCTCGCAGGACCCGCGGTTGGCGGTCCACTCCGCGTGCGCGCGAACGCACGCCAGGTGGTCAGAGGTCATGTCCAGCGCCCGCTTCGCGATCCCCGCAGCCCCGCTGCGACCGAAAGGGTCTGGCAGGCGGCGAGCGAGGGGGGGAAATGAAAAGGGGCGGGACTTCTCGGAAGGCTCGGAAGTCCCCAAGCCTTCTGAGAAGTAGAGGTTTCCCAAGCCTTCCCCGAAGACAAAGAAAACTTCCCAGAAGGAGCGAGGGCTTCTGAGAAGCCCCGCCGCCTTCTGAGAAGGCCTTCTCCTTCTCACTTCCCCCCCTCGCTCGCCGCCGATCTGGGTAGAGGAACAAAAACTGCACAAACACAAACTTTGGAAGGCCAGCGCGGATTCATTGCATCGGCGCCGGGCCCCGCTACCTGGCGCGCGAAGCGCGGCGGCGGCGGCGCTGGAGGCGCCGCAGTGGGGCCCATCACCGATCCAATAGCGACGAGAGAACAACACACACCCCATATACCCATAGGGGGGGGACGGAAAGGGCTGTGGGTGCGCGTTATCGGATGGGGCCCCGCGCTCGAATGGGAGCCTCCCCTGTGGTCCGACAAAGCGCACCCATACCCATGGCCAGTCGTCCTCCCTTCGACACCCCACATGGGTAATTATGGGTGTGTGATGTTCGTTCGTGAAATAAGGCGACGAGATTTATCGAGTCTATACATATCCACCGCCCATGATCACGTCCATCCTGGGTCCCATGTGCGCCCTCCCGGCTAGGCCAGGGAGGCATATTCAGCGCTCCCGAACCCAAAATGAATCTGGCCACAGGCAATGGACGTAGCGGGTCCCGGAAACCCCGAACCCACGAATATCGTCATTTCTTGGAAAAGCCATTTTATACTTCCGCCAGCCTCCGCCGGCCTTCCGCCAGTTTCCGGGCCTCGTGTTACCTCCGCCGCCTTCCGCCAAGCCTGCGCCGCATTCCGCCGAAGAAGAGATGGCAAGTCCTCCGATCCTAGGAGGCGAAGGCCTTCCTGGAATGTTTTGTAGATCTCGTCGCCCGATCCCAGAGATCCGCGCGGACCTCCGACTGTTTATGCCCATGCCGTTTCTTCTCCTCCGGCTCGGGGCGCCGAGACGCACGCCGCGACCTGGAGAAACCCGAGCGATATCAACACCGCTGCTCCCTGGGCCTCCCCCCGGGTGCGCTCTTGCCGAGATCTCGAAGCGAATCCAGCCATGGCGACGAAGGCCTCCCAGGAGGCCCGACAAGGCGAACGCGAGGGAGGGGCACCGATGTCGGCACCCCTTCCTCCCCTGACGACCAGCGCCACCGGCGACAGGCAGCCCAGCGCCGCCGCGCACAGCAGCGCCTTATCAGGGCCCCATAACACGGGCACGACCACGAGAAACCCATCCCTGGGACCCCAGGACGTCCATCGAGTTCGGGTGTGGGAGCGTCACGCCTTCCACAGCAAGACGATCGAAGCCCAAGAAGCCCAGGGCAACCAGGAGGCAAGCAAGGTGTTTCTTGGTATGGACCCCACTGCGCTATGCGCCCCACTCGGGCGCTCACGTCCGGACCGAGTACCAACCTGGCAGGGCGTTACCCAGGCGGTGCGGCCAGAAAGCGCCCGCCGTTGAGCAGGCACCACCGGATCCCTGAGGAGGAGGAGGAGGAGAAGGAGGAGGAGGAGGAGGAGGAAAAGGGGGAGGAGGAGGAGGAGCAGCAGGAGGAGGAGCAGGAGGAGCAGAAGGAACAGCAGACTGACTGACTGACTGACTGACTGACTGACTGACTGAAGCTGCATCGATGCCGAATCTTATCTGATGTCCGCTCACGCACCGCAGAGCCTGGTGTGAAAAAGCGCACATTCACCGAGGATGTTTGGAGTGCCAGGGGGCCTTGTGACACACAGCTGGGGGCGCTAGGCCAATGCCAGCCCTGCGCCATGCACCGACTTGGCGCTGGCAGTGCTGACTGGGCACAGGGGTACTTTGACCCTTATTTGCGGCCCCTGGTCTCCTTGTCCAGAATTTTCCGATGAAGTATTTTCAAGCGCTGTTCCCACGGAAGAGTCACATTCTGATAGCGAAGGGTGGAGGAGGGAGGCTCAGTAGGGGGCGAAGGAGGAAGAATGGGTCCCCTGCTGGCCCTGCTACGCTGACTGCTCCTACCTCGCGCCCCTGCGTGCCCGGAGTCGAAACTGCGTAGTAGGCTCGGGCCTCGCTCTCCGCTACCTACCCTTCGATATGACATGCCAGGTCTACTCACGTTTGACTCGTTTCTTGCTGCAGCTTGCCTCGTTGCACTCGCTTCTTGCTGCTCGTTGCCTCGTTGCCCCTACTTGCCTCGAAGAGAGTGCGCCAGACCGCCCACGGGCGCTGGGCCTGGCATCTTGGCCGTGCCGGCGGCCCTCATGGCCAGCGAGAAGAGCCTGGCCATGGCAATGAGCACAGACTCGTGCTTGCAATCGAGCTCCTGAGGGTGAGACTTGATCATGTCCAGCTCGTCCTCCTGCACGATCGTTTGCCCCGCTGACCAATGCCCCTCGACCGAGAAGTTGATCCTGCCCATGGGCTGCGCGCCCTTCTTCGCATGGTAGTCGCTGACTCGACAGTCGCGCACGAAATCCTCTAGTTCCGATGGCTTGCTCTCGTCCACGCGTTGCTTGGCTAAGCGCTTGACGGCCCCGAACAGCAGAGCGATCTCTTCTGGCTAGCCTTCCACCTTGGCTTGGGCCAAGGACTCGAGAAGACTGGCGAAGGCGTGCAAGTGGGGGCTGCAGATTTCGCGCCCGCTGCCTTGCTGTTTGACCTCCATGTCGCAGCGATTGGTTGCCTCTTTCACGCTCGCAACAACAGGGTGGCCCGCGGGGGACCTGAAGTGCACGTCGTTGGCTTCTCTCTCTCTCTCTCTCTCTCTCTCTCTCTCTCTCTCTCTCTCTCTCTCTCTCTCTCTCTCTCTTTCTCTCTCATCCGCGCTTCGAGCTGGAGCGATAACTTCTTCTCGTGTCCTTCCGTCTCCGATTTCTCCTTCCTGCCCTTCTTGCGATTCTGCTCTCCCACGCCTGCCGCCGCCCCCTCTGTCTGTTGAGCGCTGCTCAGCCACTTTGGCATCCAGCGAGAGAACGTGGTCTGCCAGATACGGTAGCAAGTGAATCCTAAAATGATCGCCCAGCTGCTCGGGCGAACTGGCAACACAGCTACAGAGCGTGCATTGCGTGCATTTGTGCTCGACGCGTTTCGGATGGCGCGCGCTAAAATATATCGTGCGTCGTTTGTGCGTGATCGCAGCTGACCAGTGACCCTGCGCCGTTGCTCTGTCTGCGAAGTTGCTCTGGCCAGTGAGACAGTAATAAGACAACGTTACTGCAAAGGGCGCTCGATCAGCGGTGCACGCAGGGGCCAGCAGGGGACCTCGTCTTGTGCCCACTTTCGCACGCGCCCTACTCATGCGTGCAATTAAGGCCTTGTCACTTTGGAAACTGGCACCGAAAACTGAGCAACCGCGACGCGCGCGCCCGCCCGTCTGGGGGGGGGCCCGGCATTTCAGCCTCGAACCCCGCGGCGGGGGCAGGAGGCGGGACCGCGACAGACAACTCCCTGGAGCGAAGTTGCGCGACGTCGGTTTCCAGCAAAACATTTCGCGCTTCACCCGACAAAAAACCTTTTAGACACTTGCCCTCGTGTTCAGTCTCCAGCTCTTCCCCTGCTTCAAGCTCAAACAGCGCTTGCACGTCCAACCAGAACTGTTTGGTCCACGCCAGAGCCGTGGGAAGAACCTCACCTGTGCTCGACGCCTCTAGAGGAGAGGCCGCACACTGCGCCTGTCAAATCAGAGCAGCAATGACTTGTCGATGATCGCGCTGGTGGGCCACGATGTCCCATGGCCACTTCAGTCGGCGGATCCTGAGCTCAACGAGAAGACTGCCGAACTTCAACAACCTCTGGAGCTCGATGTTACTGGGTGCACTTGCTGCATCTCCTCTCCGTTTAGTGCGTTGCCCTCGTAGGACGACGCGCGCGAATTTAAACGCACTCTGCTGCAGTGGCTCCAAACTCTGCTGGGAGATCGGGTTCGCCACGGCGAGGACATGCGACTCCAGGCCCGACCGGGCCGCGTTCGCGACAACTCTCAGGAAGACGACCCCCTTGAACCTGAGAGAAACCTGCGACGTCGTCCAAAACTTCCACATCTTGTGCCATGCAGTTTTCACTCCTTGAAGGCGGACTTGTTTCTCAACGTAAATTCCATTGTTGAAATGATTTTGCCCCCCGAGATACCTAGCGGCAGACGCCGTTGTTCCCTCCAGCCTGGGTCGCCCTCTATGAAAATCACGATTGAACTTCGCGGCCTGGGCCCCTGCTCCCTGCACCAGATTAAATAGTGTATCTCGATTTGGGGCTCCTCCTATCTCCTCCAACCCGTAGTCAAACACCCTGTTCTCCCATTCTGCTACACGCTGCACATGATTCTGGTCTGCGCCCATGATTTTCCGAACGACATCATCAGCAGACGTGGGCGTTGCCAAGTCGACAATGCTCGTGCCATCTGGGGCCTGCACAGCGGCGGGCAGCAACATGTGCAGCGCCCTCTGCCACGGATCCTGAGTGAAAATCTCACGCGTGCGTCGCATGCCATACTCGTGCGTTGTGACGAACAACTTAGTGGCAGCATGATCCCCTGGAAGCACTCCTGACCCATTGGCCATGTGAGCACTCTCCTGCCCATCTGTCACGATAAATGTACTGTTGTAAACTCTCAGCTGAAAAAAATCATCCTTGCCCTCCTGCGCCAGTTCTGCAATCGCATGTTCCACCATAGCCTTGTGCACACAATAAAAAGCATTGCTGGCATCATGGTAGCGCGTAATGTGTGCCACTCCTGCTCGTCGTAGTCGTGCTGGTCAATTCTGTTGGACAAGCGTGTCATCCTCCCTCCGTCGATGAGAAATGCCCCCATGAGCCCAGTAAGGGAAGTCTAGATTAGGACGCAGCAGAGATCTGTAGAAAAAAAAAAAAAAAAAAAAAAAACCCAAGCCACAGAACACCATGATGGTTCGCTCACCTGCTGCGCCCAGTTTGTCATTGTTCTTGTCGAGTCGGCAACAGGGCGCCTGGCGCCAAACGGCTGGCGCCCTCCTAATAGTGCATATCGCTCGACACAGCAAGTGGATAGTCCTTTCAAACTCGCGCGCCTGAATCTTCTGTTCCTGATCGTCACTGTGTAGTCCCAGGCCTCGTCCCTGTTGCGGTCGATAGTGCCAGTTCGGCATGGCAAGAACCGTCAGTACATCGCCTGCTGCTGACACTTGCGGCTGTGCTCGCCGCGAAGGGAGCTTCTTCAAGCTCTTCTTCAGTCGACTGCGCTCCGCACCATCTGGTCCAGCAAAGGGTAGTCTCCAGAAGCCTGTCGTCTCATGTGGTGCCCCGCTCTGCGCCAACAGCTGCGCCCGGGCGCCGCCATCCACCCCGGGAGATTGAAATCGTGATATCCAGTCCGCCGCCGACGCCCTCGTGGTCGCCACCCGATTGTACAATCTAGCCCGTGGCCCCCTGCAGGTACCCGCCAGCAGCCTCGCAATCGCGTGGGCATCGTAAAACCGACGAAACCGCCACGCATCCCAGAGCCCTTCAATACGAGTCTCGTTCAGCTGCTTGAAAAAATCGGTTTGTACTTCTTGAGACGTCTACTTAGTCTGCAAACCTCCAGCAGCTGCTCCTCGGGGAACTCCACCTCCATGTCCTTCGCCTGCCTCCTTGCTGCAAGTAGCACCCGAATATGCTGGCTCTGCGCGAAGGTGTGCTCACGCTTCTCCACACAGCCTGGGGCCTCGCACAGACACTCCTCTGCTGTCTCTTGAACCACTTGCATCAGCCCTGCATTGATATGATCCACATCCCCGTCATACTCCTAAGCTGTGAACTGATCCCTGCATTGTGCCTGACGCTCCTCCACCGCTGCCACCAACCGTTACCGTCCCGTCCCATATAGCAGTACTGCATTGCAGGCCTCCTTGTTATAATGCAGCAGTTGGTGGCGCCGGTGATGTTCGAAGGTGTGCCAGAAGGAGGCGTAGAGCGGAAAGTGATATTTCGGAACATAACTTCTGATGTGCTGTAGCCTGCGTCCTTTATTTATGGAGACAAAGCATTCATGAACATGTTCAAGTAACCCCCGTGGGCAAGCCAAATATTCGAGTCGCTTCACCAACTGATAAGAAATCCCATAGTACATCGCGCCTGCATCAACGTATGTACTAGCCAATACCAAGTCGTGCGCTTGCAGAATCGGCTTCGCGTGCGCTTGCAGAATCGGCAGAATCTGCACTGTGGTGGCCAGTAACTGGTGTACCGCCCCCATCCATGCCACAAGTTGAATTGAGAGCCATCCCAACCAATGGAAGACACCGAGCTGGTAATGAACTGAATCGATCATGCAACCATGTTGTGAGCTACGAAGCAATCGACTTCTGTTCTGCTACCGCTCCTCATCCCTTGCCTCTCGTCGGAAAATAAAGAGAATCAATGGCCAAGTCCTGTCGTCCCCTCTTGTAGCGGACGAGAAGAGCTCTGCCCTGGAGTCTGTTCTTGCCCTCGACAACCCTGGCGATGTGCTGCTCTGCGTGTCTGTGTCGATGAAGTGCCACTGCCACTCCACATGCATGGTTACTGCCTTTGCCAAAACCTGAACGAATAAAGATGTGATCCTTGGCTGCCTGCCTGCTCGGCTGGCCGCGATTCCTGACCGTGGTGCCCTGGAGCATGAGGAAGCCTACGCCCTCGTACTCCGCGGACACGTTGAAAACTCAAGAGGGCGGAGAGGGTGAGCGGGTTGTCGGTCACCGCCCGCAGACATCGCCAACCGCCGCCGCTCCCATGGCTGGGCCCACTCATGCCATCAAACTGGGAAGTGGCACGAGGGGTCCTTTGGGGGTGTCGACCGTTTCAGCTGCCTGAGATCTCTCGATGGACAGGGGCAGCTGAAGGAGCAGGAGGAGGAGGAGCACGAGGAGGAGCAGGAGGCAACATCAGACTCTGAGGAGGAGGAGGAGGAGGAGGAGAAGCCCTGACCTCTCCTACGCTGGGGTGGGGGGGCCCGTCCGCGGCGGGGGCGCGCGCCGCGCCGCGCCGCGCCATCGGGCCCGCCCTCGGAGGTCGGGGCTCAGCGCGGCGGGGGTGCCCCGCCCGCGGCTGCGAGAGCGGCTGGACTGCTGGACGGCTGCCTCAGGTGGCTGGCTTCCTCGAGCTCGAGACCGAGCAGCTCGAGGACTTCGGCCCGCTGCACCAGCTGGGCCCGCTGGACGACGTGGTGGACGTGCCCGTGATCGTGCAGAAGCAGGTGTTCCTCGACGGGCTTGTGTGAGCTCCCCGTCGCGCTGCGGCCAGTGCGTGGCCCTCTTGTCGCCCGCAGCGGGCGAGTGTTCCCTCTGCCACTCTTAGGCTAGGTGGGGGCGGAGGCAGAGGTGAGGTGGGTGGAGGAGGAGCGTTACGACACGAGCTGCGCTCTCCCACGTGCGCCGTGAAGCTCGTGTTTCGTACGGCTTGTCGATGCCATCCGTCTTCTAGCATTGCCACGCTGTTGCTAATAGAGGCGGCGGCGGTCGCAGAGGTGGAGGTGGTGACGAGTGGGGGAGGATCTTTATCATCCATTTCGCGACGGGGTTGTGTGCGCTCCCCGTCGTGACAGCGACAGCTGGCGCCGATCGGCCTGGCTGGGCTCGTAAGCACCAGCGCTGTGGTGCCCCCAGGCTCGAGGCTGTCGACCGCCAGACCGCGGCCTTGGCTAGCTTCACACAGGCTAGCCTCCCGCGGGACCGTGGCCTTGGTTGGCGTCACACAGGCTAGCCTCCCACGGTTCCTTGTCGTAGTGCGGCCTTGGCTGAGCTGTACAGCCCAGCCTCCCGCGGAACCCGCGAGTCCACCGCCCTGTCCAGCCTCGCCTGCTTGAGCCATCAGTTCATTTTGTTGGATGCGACGGCGCTTGCAGCGACAGACGACGAGGTGGAGGATGACGAGGGGGGTGGGTGGAGGTAGTAGTGTCGTCCTCGACATGTGCGTTTAACAATCTCTCGACGGACGACGAGCCAGGCCGCTGCAGGTGCGGCGACCGTGGCTGATTTCTTCCCTGC